TGTGATCTCAAATAAAAAGTCTATAATAAATAATTTCTGGAAGACAGTCTAGCTTCAGTATGCTTGGATTGCTTTTTATTTTCATTAATTCTAAAGAAAGTAGCTATTCAGGAAGAGAAAATTATTTTAGTCTTCCTTCTATAGGGCAAATAAATCCAAAGCTCTTGTCAAATTCTTAGGCTTTTTAGTAATTACTTTCCAATATTAAATCAAATTTATTATTTAATAGTTTGATATTTACAAAAACAACTTTATTCATGTATGTTTGAATGAACTGAATTACCTGAACTTCATAAATTTGAGAGAACGGTGACTTTCTTTGCTGGAAAGAGTTCTCTTTGAGAACATAAATCTGTGAATTACTATTACTATGCAATGTAATGAAATGGAATAAGAAGGAACAGGAATGGAGAGGAAAAAATAGGAAAGGGAAAACTCTAAATACACATTACTAATTTGGCTACAGTTGAACTTATAAAATGTTGGTCAAATTTATTAATTCCACCAGCTCCTTTCCTACCCTACACATCATCCAACAACTTGAGAAATTATACTGCAGTTTAGAAAGTGGTACAGTTGTTCAGCTCTGGGTGTTTATACTTAAAACCTAGGAGACCAGGCATCCTTTCTAATATGGGAATCTTGGAGAAAAATAATTGTTGAATTTGTGCATCAGGGGAATTCACTTTCCCCCTTCAAGGTCAATACAATTAGCATTTGCTAAAGGAGGAGATAGTTGAATTTGAATGTTTTTTCTTTGCTACTCTTTCATTTTTCTCATTTAAAATTTAATTTCAATTTGTAAGGTGGGACAGGGTGATCCAGTCAACTCTAGGCCACATGGACTACAGAAAACAATTCAAGAGCCACACTATCATTTTCAGCTCTCTTTTACACACTGAAGATCACTTTAGATTACTTAAACAACTTTTTGGATAGCCTTTATCATTCCACCTATCCCTTAAAGAAACTGTTAGCTCTTTTTCTGGTTTTAAAATACATATTCATGATATAAAAGAAATTACAGGACAATAGAAAACAAAAAAAACCACACATAAATCTGCAATTCAAGAGTGACAATTAACTTTTAGTGTAATTCTCTTCATTCCATTTTCCATGGTACACACAAACATATAGTATATAGATATAGATACATATATATAATACATAATAATAATAATATATAATGTCTCATATTCACATTTAGGAACAATAATAGAAAGTTTTGACTTTTTCACCTAAAATTATACTGTGAATATTCTCCCTTCATGAAATGTTCTTAATACAATTTTCTGAATTTGGACCTGATTTTGAAAACATTTAAAAAACTATATTAGATATTTATAATTTATATGATTACAACAATTTTAATCCATAAACTAATCTATAGCTCTGATTATTTCCTTAGTATAGATTATATGAGGTGGAACTTAAAGCTAAAAAGGACCTATTTTTAAGGCTATTATTCTGTCAAACTGCAATGAAGAAAGGGCATATTAACTTACACCTACAGACACGTAACAGAATCCCATTTTTCTCATCCTTAGCAGCAATAAGTGTTATTTTCTTAAAATATATTTTGTTAACCCACTGGCCTTCTTTTGCAGCTGAGTATTGGGAAATACTCTTTGTAAAGGAGTCTAGAATAATTACATAAACTGTACATGGAGCTGGCCTAGTTCCTTGGACAACTGGTTCTAAGGGTTTGTCAATATCATGCCATTTCAGTTTAATCAAAACAGTCATTTCAAACTGTTGTCATTTTCCAATGTCAACTGGATAGTATGTTTTGGTGTCTACTGAACTAGAAAAAAAAGGCTAGGAGCTCTTTATGATAATTACGTTTTATTTTATTATCTTATTTTACTTTTCTTTTGTCAAAACAAATGTTTTCAGTTAGAGGATATTTATTCCAAGTAGTATATTTTCTTCCTCTTATGAAAAACATTAATTCATAGATACTCAGAAAGAAAGAATAAATTATCTCTCAAGACAAATAGACCTCTCCTCACCCCTCTACCTCCTAAACTCCTATATGAAGAGTCAAAACAGGCTTCTCAGGCTTTCTCCTAGAAATTACTTTGTGTACTTTATGGTCTTGGCCTAAGCTGAAGAGCAATAATAAAGGTAATTAAAAGGGACCCAAATGAATATTTAAGAGTCAGCATTTGTGAAGGTAGTTTAAGGCAAATCTGTGATTTAACTAAGTTTATTTTTGCTCTTCACCCATCCAAAAAAACACAAACAGACAAAACCCACATATATTGAGAAATCTATGTGCCATGTACTTTATAATACGCTGTTGACAGAGTGAAAAAGAAACAGTCCCTGCTGCCTAAGGAATTGCTCATTATTAGAAGTAACAGATTTAAACAATTATACTAATAGGACTAGGACAAGAGAGATAGGTGAAAGGCTCAGTGGGGTCCAGAAAGACAAAGTAGCTAGGTTTCTGTATGAGTAAATGGTAATGTTTGAACACCATAGTGACAGATGAGTAAGATTTTGCCAGATTTTATGGTAAGGGGATAGCAATGGGATATTCTAGGCAGAAGGAGCACCACATACACAGGAATCGAAGCAAAGCATGCCTTCTGAAGATCCATGAAGCAATTTAGCCTGGAGGGAGACAAGATTGGAAACATACCAAGAGAGGATCTCTGTGAAGAACTGTATAGGCTGTTAAAAACATTAGGAATCCATTGAAAGGTTTTAGGTAGAGAAATTACTTGTTCATATTTTTGCTTCAGGAAAATTTTTGTGGGGTTGGAATGAATGAAACTAAGATGCAAGACAATACATAAGTAGATTGATTAAAGAAACAAAAAGTGTTAATGGTCCAAACCAGTGCTTTTCAAACTTTAGCCTGCATCCCAATCACCTGTATCCTGTTCTAAAACACACATTATCAGGATCAATCCCTAGATTTTCTGATCTGTGAGTATGTGGTAAGGATTAAGAATTTGCATTTCTAATCAGTTCCCAGATGGCTTAAAGTATCTCCCAGATTTTCTACCTGAGCAATAGGCAGGATTCTTGTTTCATAAAACAAAAGAGGGAAAGCATGAAGCAAATAATTTTTACTCTACAATGCCCCTTACCTTTTTTTTTTTTTTTGTAGCAGGGATCGAACTCCGGACCTTTGACTTGGGAGGCAGGTGGCAGAATCATTGAGCTAAATCCCCAGCCCCTCTTACCTTTTAATGCTGTTCCCTCCAATTGCTTAAGATTTACATGTTACCTGCTGGCTATCTCTTCACTTTAGCACTCCTTCCTTACAATGCCAAACTCTAACTGATCTATTTGAATGTCTCTGGCTTATGTGTTCAACATCCTGGTCTCTATTAGCTTATGATAGACCTAAATGGACTAATACTTATGAATGTAGGAAACTGATGCTCTTCCAGGGTAACACATTTCTACCTTAACAGGGATGATGATGAAATCATGCCTCAGCTCATTGTGGTTTCTCAAATGCGAATTTCATGTACCAGAACAGGCCTTCTGAGGGTCTTGTTCTCAGATGGTAAGGCCTTCTGACATCCTTCAACAAACAAAGACTTGCTCTGTCAAAGCCTCGAGGCCCGCATAAATAACGAATATCAGTTAAAATTTCTATTCTTTGGATCCTGTTTCAACTAGGGTGAATCACAAAGATGTATGATTTATCTTTGCCAGAGAAAAATAAGTGAATTTTAAAGAAATTTCCATTTAATTGTACTCTAATAGCCTGCTTTGAATAATTTGTTAAATTATATTCAGAGGAAGTACATCACATGGTGGTGATCAGTCTTCTTCCTTGAATCATATTATGTATGTGTGTTCATCCATACACACAAAAACTCCTTATGAAAAGTTACTTCATTTTCTATCAGATTCTTCATCTGTACAACTAGAACTCTAAGATACCTTACAAGGTATCGAGTGGATAAAATCAAACAGTGTATATTAATTGTCTAGTTTAGTGTTCCTTATAATAAACACATCTTTCCTCTCTTCTCCTTAATGATTCATTATCTAACCATTCTGGTGAGGAGATCTGACTCTGGACATCTTTGAAAGGAATCATAATTTGGATTGGGTGAAATAGACAGTAGTGGCATCACACTACTGATGAGGCTGTAATAAAAGAGCCAACTGCACTCTTCCACAATCTGCAGAAATGTTTATTCTGCAAATATCATTAGTAAATTCCTAGGACTATTTTAATGTTAAGGCTTTCTTCTTTTACATTAAATTTGCTTAGGCTTCCACTCTATCACTTTCCTCATCCTCATTCCAATCAAAGGCATTACCATATACTTGATTTTGATGTGGGAATTTACTCACAAGTTTAGAAAATTTAACCCTTTCCTACAACAAGAAAAAAAGATTAATAATTACCAAATGGTTTGACAGCATGCTGTATTCCTAGCCCTCAGTTCTACATGTCTTCAACTGCACTTTGTCTGACCCAGCTAAAACATATATGTCAATATTCACTCAATATTAAAATATATGTCCAGGGAGAATCTCAGACATATGTTATATAGGGGAAAAATTAAAATTGAAATTTTTTTTTTTTGGCTTTTTACGCTCAATCTTAGTCAAAAGGCCATGAAGTGACTTTTTTTTTTTTTTTGGTTTTGGTTTTGGTTTTTTTGAGACAGGGTCTTACTATGTAGTTCAGACTGGCCTTGAACCACGGTGGCCTCAAACTCATGGTGATCCTCCTGCCTCGGCCTCCTAAGTGCTAGGAGTATAGGCCTGCACCACCATGGCTGGCAAAGTTGAAATCATTTCTGAGACAATTTAATTAGTATCACTTTATTTTAAGGATTTAAAACTTGACTTGGCACTAGGATTAGATTCAATTTCTGTCCTTCTGAGAAAATCCTCTAAGCAGCCGTTGCTTTTAAGTTGAAAGTTCCATGGTTTATTTCATCAAATGTGCTTACCACATTTAGTGAGTTTGGCCTATACGTACACCAAGGCCTCCTTCATCAGTTTCTTGTACTTACCTATGAACCTGATGATCCTTCGCAGTAGGGGGTTCAGGTAACAGCATTCTCCAGTCAGAATGGTTTTCTCCTCAGCAATCAGGGATTCCCGTGTGGACTTTATAAAATACATGGATATCTCACCAATAAAAATCTGAGAAAGGAATGTTTAAGAAATGTCAAGCAGCAGAATTGTTTGATTGAAGAATGGTTTTTTCATAAAGTAACTTTTGAGAACTTACAATCCTTTTAAAAGATATGTTGGAGAGATGGAGAGTAGTTTGAATTTAATTCCTCAAAGAATTAAATAAAGTAATAATTGATAATTTCAGATACAGCTAGGGCATAATATTAAATTCTAAGGTCACATAAAACATTAATAGGAATAATAGATTGTAACCAAATTTATGACAAGTCTCACGCTGAGCTGTAATTTTTTAATTCAAAATATGAATTACAATGATGAGGAATGATTCAGACAAGGCAATGTGTCCAAGAAGGCATTATATACATACACTCCAATGCAGCGGTACTTTATTATATAGCAAAAATATCATTATTCACACATTATAAACCCTTATTTGATTATATTTGCCTGAGATACATTTCTCCTATCCTGAAATGGCTGATGTCTGTTTTTATTATGGTACTTACCTCTTGTTATCTTAATATCTATTACCTCTTAAATCACAATGGCCTTAGAGGGATTGTAAGCACCTTGGCATCAAAGTCCACATCTTCTATCCTTAAATTATCTTTACAGCACCCAGCACACCATATTCCCACTTAAAACAAGGAATTTACATGAGGTAAATTTTAACAAATGCTGACACTGCTACAACTGAAGAGTAAGACTCATCGATGAAGAAGAAAAGTCAATAACTACCATTGTCTATTGACCACTGGGTGTCAGGCCCTTTGCCCAAGTGACATGCTCACAAGATCCTAAATGTAGGTACAATTACACTCATTTTACTGGTAAGGAATGAAAGTTCAGCACACTTCATTAATTTACCCTCCAAATTGTAGGCCCAGCACACTGGGGGACTATTATTGGTATCTAGGCCAACTATGTTCCAGGCTCCACACTTTCGACCATATTCTACACCAGCTTTTTATCTTCCTCATCTCACTTTCAACATTTCTAGCAAAAAATATGATTTTATAGATGATTTTCTTTGCTATCCATAGACCTGTAATTTTAGAGAAAGTTTGTCAATGTTTTAAGAATTCCCACACTTTATATTTCTCTTTTGTTATGGAATATCTGTTTATATGGATAAAGTTGATATCATAAAAGGCACACAGGTAATGGAAATATAAAATTTCAAAACTAGAATTTTTTCAGTGTTTTTTCCTTCACTTTATAGATGAGAAAACTAAGGGTCTCGGAGACTTGGCCACACGCAGCCAGATGGTGTCTGGGGCAGCTCTAGAATGTGGCTAATGGTTCTGTTTCCACTACATCATTCTGTTTCACACTATAACACCAAACAAGTCTTACAGTGGTTAAAACATACTGCATTTAAATTGCTTTGCTTTTGGTCTCCTTAATATTAAATACAAATTCAAATATTTTTTATTCAATCACTACTATGTACTAGTGTAGTGGTTAAAATGCAGAACACTGCAGCGAATCTTTTTTGTTTGTTTGGTTTTTGTTTTCTTTTTGTCTCAAAGCTAGATTTCTGGCTTATTAACCTTGAACACACTATCTAACTTTTCTATGCTTCTGTTGTCTTCTCTGTACAATCAGTTCCGTGAACTACCCTAGCCAATCAGTTGAACCAGACAAGAGAGTTATGGGAGCCTGGATTTATAGTCAGAAGTACAGGTCACAACGTATTGCTTGTGAGTGGCATCTGAAGTGGGGACAGCCCTGTAAAACTGAGCCCTCAATTCATGAAATCTGATGCTCTCTCCATTTAGAAAGTGTTAGAATTGAGTTAAATTACTCAAGCACAAGGGCCCGAGTTAGATCCCTGGTACCAAAACAAACAAACAAAAAAAAGAATTGAGTTAAATTATAGGACACACAGTTGGTATCTACTAGAGAATTGTTTTGTATGTGGGGAATACCTCCCTGCCCACACACATCTTCTGTCACAAGTGTTGTATTGGCACTGTGTAAGAGAGTAGGAAAAAGTTATTTTTTTCCCTTTTGATATATCATGAAATTACATGATTTAAAAACTAACCAAGGAAATAGGATGGAGACTTACAAACCTAGGAGAATAAATAATAAGGAACAAAAGCATCACTTGCCTTAGCTATATCAAAAATCCCAGTCTTACTCTATAGCAGTGATGGCGAACCTTTTAGAGCTTTCAGTGATAACAAAAAGCCCACTGAAGCATGTGTGCCATAGGTTCACCACCACTGCTCTATAGCAAAGGAGGTGTAGAAATTCTAGAAATTCTTCATTCAGTGAGGCTTTGCACTATGTACACCAGGTGGCAAAAAGCAGGCTGGAGAGTAAAAACATTGACAACCAACATATACACATTAAAATACATCTCTGTGTGTGTGTGTGTGAATACACACATATATACATAGATATGAACAAAATCACTTCAAGTTGCATCAGGCTAAACAAAGCAAAAGGTTTGAGGATCAGATAAAACTGTAACATTCTAAGACTTTCATGTCAAAAGTGCTAAATGAGACAAATACTACTATAAGTCAACATTCAAATAAAAATGAGGTATAGAACATAAAAGAAAATAATCAAAGCAAGACTGTATTCTAATTTATATATCTAGCTCCTGGCAATGTATAGTATATACTATGTGATAATGAATGTTTGCCTATGAAATAAAGAGAGGAGAGAAGGGGTGACTTTATAATTGAAATACAGTGAGCTATTCCTGGATTTTAGTGAAAACTGACAGACATGCATGTTGCTGATGAAACAGTCTAGCTCTCACATCCTGATATCCTTCATGGATGTTCATTTTCCTAACCATGCATAGGGTGCTATTATTTTCCCCATTGACTGGATCTTATAGATTCATATAGGGCTTAATTCTGCTTGCAGAATGGAAGAGTATGAAGGTAAAGGGCCTTTTTATCTCTCTGCCAGGTCCACAACCCACTTTGGATGCCATTTTGCTCATAGTGGCAGATTTGTGACTCTGGTTTTGGCAATGGTTAGGTTCCTCCATCTGTACCTCTGCCATATCACTCTGCCTCTATCTATCATTACTACTAAGAGAGTAGCTGGGGCATGTGGGAGTCTCCATGTGTTCAGACCTGGCGGCCTTGCCTGTTTTGGCCTTTCTGATTGTTGGCTAACAAACACTGAATCAATCATGGCAAATGAGAGTATTCTCTGGTGAGAAATGGTCAAGGCCAAATTCGATCTGGCAATGAATGAATAGTAAATAAATTCCATTGGTGCATTTTTTATAATCCTAAGTGACATGTAACCTTTAGATAATAGTAGAGATATTTTGAGTAATGAGGGTAACTACTGTATCTTGATAAAGTTATTTTTCACATATGAAAACCAAAAAGGCAAATAAACAAAAGAGAGCACATAATTTTTAGACTACATTCTTCACCAAATTATTTTAAAATTTATTTTATTTTTTAAATTCACAGATAAACATGTATTTATCATATACAACATGATGTTTAAATATATATTAGAGTAGAATGACTAAATCCAAGTAATTAGTGTACACAGCACCCAGCATAGCTAGCAGTTTGGTGGTAAGAATATTTAACATTCACTCTCATAGCATTTGTCAAAAATATGATATATTGATATTAACTATAGTTACTATATTATACAATAGATTTCTTGAATATATTCCTCTATTTAGTTGAAATTTTGTGTCCTTTGAGCAACATCTCCTCAAGCGTTCCTCCCTAACTACCCTAGCCCCTGGTAACCACAATTCTACTCTCTACTTCCACGAGTTCAGCTTTTTTAGATTTCACATAAGTGAGATCATGTGGCATTTGTCTTTCTATGCCTGACTTTATGTCATTTAACATAATGTCCTTCAGGTTCGTCCATATTGACATGAAGGATAGGATTTCCTAATTTTTAAATACTTGAATAGTATTCTATTGTGTATATGTACTACATTTTTTTATCCACTCATCTGTTGTTGGGCATTTAGGAAGATTCCATGTCTTGACTATTGTGAATAGCGGTACAATGAACATGAGAGTACAGGTCTGTCCTTGACATACTGATTTCCTTTCCTTTGGATATATACCCAAAGTGGGATTGTTGGATTATATGGTAGTTCTATGTTTGATTGATTTTTAGGAACCAGGGCCAGGGACTTAGCTCAGCAGTTCCTCCGCCTGCCTCACAAGCGCAAGGTCTAGAGTTTGATCCCCAGTACGAAAAAAAAAAAAAGCAGATTTTTAGGAACTGTCAAACTGTTTGTCCATAATAACTGTATTAACTTACGTTCCCATTACCACTGCACAGGTTTCCCTGCTTTCCACATCTCGCCACACTTATCTTTTGTCTTTTTGATAATAACTATTCTAACAGATGTGAGGTGATGTGTTATTGCTTTTATAACTCAAATTTCCCTGATGGCTAATGATATTAAACATTTTGGCATATAGCTGTTAGCCATTTACGTTATTTTGAGAAATATCTACTTAAGTCCTTTCCCCTTTTTTAATCAAGTTATTGTCTATCAAGTTCCTTATATGCTTTAGATACTAATCCCTTATCAGCTGTACAGTTTGCAAATATTTTCTCCCATTCTGTAGGTTGTGTTTTTACTCTGTTAGTTGTTTTCTTGGTTACATAGTAGCTTTTTAGGATGATGTAATTCTATTTTTCTATTTTCTTACATCGCCTGTGCTTTCCAGATCATATTCAAGAAATCATTGCCCACATCCATGTCATGGAGATTTCTCTCTATGTATCCTTCTAGTAGTTTCATAGTTATAGGTCTTAGATTTAAGTCTTTAATCCATTTTAGTTCATTTTTACATATGATGTGTAAGAGTCAAGTGTCATTCTGCATATGGATATCAGTTTCCTAACATTATTTATTGAAAAGATTGTCTTTTTGCTCTTGTATATTCTTGGCATCTTTGTTGAAAATCCATTGACTATAAATTTGAGGATTTATTTCTGGACTTCCTATCTGTTCTATTTGGTCTATGTGTCTGGTT